ATATATATATATATATATATATATATATATATATATATATATATATATATATTTACAGCAAAGATTAGAGAAGTGGAAAAAATACAAATATGAGAGTATACATATGGGAGAAGTTGCACAAATAAACAATGCTCTATACGTTAGAAGAATTTTGTTCTTTGAAAAGATCGAACTTTCAAGTAATCTTTTACGTGTGCTCTAATGGTTGTTTGACCCTACAGTTATTCTTGTGCCCTCTCCTCCAGTCTTATACCCTCTGCACAGATGTTACATTAGGTGAAGCGACTGGTTTAATTTTCGATTCAAAAAATTTCTTCCTCCTCTTTTGCGTGTTGTAGCAGTGTTTAGAAATGAGCTAGGAGATGTATTCTTGTTCAAGAGGAAAGAGGAAACATGTCTTGTGCTTCAGGCTGACACATTTGCTTGAGATTAGAAACGCTCCTTGCATTAGAACAAACCGTGAACATAGATATGTATTTCCTATATCGGTTTTCTCAAAATTGAGGAGATTGTTCACATATACAAGTAGGAAGTTGACATTAAAAGGTATGTTAAGGTTATTTTTTCTTTTCTTTTGGCTTGATCTATACGACATGAACGAAATGAGAAAATGCACAACTTCCATAAATGACTCTATTCATAAAAATACTAAGGTTATCTATATTCCTGATTCCCCGTGTGAATTATTGTTATATCTTCTGATCAAATTTGGAACAAAGCCTGAACCACTTCACATATGACCACAAGATAGCACCATGAATGTTATATGATTAAGCAATCTATATATTTTATTCACAATCTAAAAGAACATTACCTTAAAAGAATTGGTGATTCATGATGATTAAACCTGGTGAGAAATTTTTATTGAAAACCTAATTTGCTAAATGATGTAGGAATTGGAAGGTTTGAAGCCCACTTGGAGTACATTTTTATTTGAGAATGAATATCTGCATTTTGATGTTCAAGTATGTTTACTGAAGCCTAAGCAATCATTTACTGTCTGTATTATGACAACAGGTATCCTTGTATGTTATTTCCCCCTTCATATTTTTTTCTCTTTCAATTGTTTTGTGTTTTAATCAGCCAACATTATTTTATTTACTTTACTGGTTAATTAATTTACCTCCTTTTTAATACTAGGCGGTGAGTTTGATGAAATGTTATTGACATGTTATTCATAAATTTTCAGCAAATAGACTTGTGTGTTACATATTTGATAAAGTTTATCCGAAAGGTATATTGAATTTTATGGCATTCCAAGGAGATTTTATTAACACATTTCATATGCATTTCATGCATTTATACATTTACATTGACCCATGACCAGATGGCGTTATATACACGTATATATGTATATTATATTTATATGGGATATGGGAAAAGGTTACGGCGTTATATACGCACCACCACCTGATCAGCTGGTATGCGTTGATGATTTTGCCCACAGTAGCACCAGATGATATTATATACGCGTATATATATATATATA